CAACGGAAGCCCAGTGCGCCAGTTGATTGTGCAGAACACATCCACCACCACTACAACTACAGATACGCAATCCTCCGCTCAGATAAACGTACCCATCTGCCTCACCCTGTGCATGATGAGTATCTACATCATAATTGGTGCCGTGGTCTTCTGCATTTGGGAATCTCGGGACTACGTCAAATGGTCCTACTTTTGCTTTGTGACCCTTTCAACCATTGGATTTGGTGACATAGTACCAGGTAAGCAGAGACGTAGGTACAGTTTCATCCTAGCTAATAGCTGATTTCCATGGTCCGTCATTGGCTGAACTGTATAGATATATAGGTTTCAGTCGGCAAAGCCCTCCTGGTGTATCTGCAATGGCAGCATTTCTCAATATCTGCTGGTTCATTACTTAATTAATTTGGGAACAGTCGACAAAGGATAATCACATTACAAAACTATGTTTCCTTAGTGAATGCGCGCTGTTTAAGCCAGTTTTACATAAGTTTGATTCAATGCCATTTAAAACAGCTAATCTAACAAGCTGGTCTGTGCATTCTGCCTTCGGCATAGTTACTTCCTCGCTCATCCCCTCAGTAAACAATCTAGTAAAGATTTATAGTCCGTTATTCCTCACAGTCCTACGGGAGATTAAAAACACGCCAACGAAGTTGCGGTCTCCGGATTTTAAGTAAACTATTTTGAATCGCTGGCAGGTTTCACACGCACTATATTCACAAGAAGAAGCTATTTTATTATACCAGAGTGGTTATCTGGATACCGGCTGGTGTATGTACTACGGGACAGTCTGCGCCACATATTTTTTTCGTACATGCCACTGTTTTACCAAATGGAAAATAATCAAAGCCTTATGGTCCTGTCTAATGTAGCGTTCTTCTCATGAAACGCAAGGCGGATTGTCTCAGTTCAGTGGATTGGAAAAAGATTTTTGTCAGACACTGCATGTGATATGAGCAAATAAGTTCTTTATATTACCCACCCGTAAAACAGACTGAATTAACAAATAAAGCTGTGTTACCTCAACTGTTAAATGAGATAAGACATTAGAGAATGTAAAATAGACGAAGGTTGTTCACGCGTGGGAATCATGTCTTAGTTAATTGGAAGGCTTACTGGAGTCCACCGTCAGAGATAAAAGCGGCAACTAACAAGCAAGAGCTTTAGGGGTAAGGGACTAATCAAACACCAATAGCGCCAGTCCAGAGGTAATTGCGCTCGGCTCTGTTTGTCGGTGGCAGGTGAAACAATTCGAAAATTAACGGGGCTTTACCGCCTCCAGTTGACAGAATCATTGTAAATGTTTAAGGTCACGAGTGAAGGTGTTGATGATGGTCCTAGAATACGGGACTTGATGGCAGGACGTTTGAGTTAATTGCCAAAGGGTCACTATCTGAGCACAGTGTCCGCCAGGTGTTATGGAAAAGGACTAAGTCTATGAATGCTCATTCTGAATCTCGTCATTCTCACCGACAGTGCTTTTTGATGAACAGCATTTTAAGCTGACATGAACAACAAACTCGCAAACGCTGCCTCCTACCATTCAGAATAAAATGATGTGTGCATACTTCATGGCTGACGTTTCTTGTTTGAACTGCCACCTACAGCTAGCATGCAATTCAGTCAGAAGGTACATTTGCGGTATTCATAGTCAAATAGAAATGCACGTATTTATTTTGCTGATTAACTCATAATAAATTTGAGCAGTAAGCTGCTATCGTAAAAAATCAAAAAGATGCAAAACAGTGTCAATCCTATCTGAAGACAGTTCTTCCAGTTGTAAAAACGAGCGTTAAAAGAAAGTAAAAATAAAGAAAACGCGATCTATGGAACGGCAATTTCATTTGCTGCTTTCTCAGCTTTTCCAACGATGGATTATCGTGTGCAGCTGAAAGTTCAGAATAAAAAAATGTCATTCCGGAGATCGCGTCTCCTTCTTCTTTACAAAAATAGCCTGTGGCACGCATATTTGCTTCTATTCGTGAGAGTATTAATGACCGCGCGACTTATTTTTTGTCAGTCCCTGGCAAACTGTAAGACTACGGTATTCGGTTGACCAATCAGGTTAGAGAGCCTTGCCGAAAAATGTGCATTTGTGGTCAGTAGCTTCATCTAGTCATATGCAAGACTCAGCTTCACAAACGGTGTAAAGTCTAAGGATTATGCGCCTCTGCAACACTGTTGGTTAGATTATTAATCCTGGCTACTGGTGAATCACGACGCGTTAATTGGATGGAGAATAGTAGTTTAAGTAATGCACCTTATATATCCCTAGTCCAAGCATTTCCTCCTACGAAAACGGTGGTTATAGGGGGTTTCTATGGTGGGAAAATAAGATAGGCAGTGAATAAACTTCGTAGCAGTAAGTGTGCAAAAGTGGGAAAATGTAGTTGACCTCGTTTCTTGCGGTTGCTGGGAGTAAGTTGTTCCGCATATACTAATGTAACTTCGGAACGACAAGTTGACGTAGACGACCTCCTAACCACCATTTAGTTGTTTCAGGAATTTCAAAAATCTGCATTTTTATAATCGGGCTTTCCACAATACGTTCAGAGATAATACAGATTAGACAAATCTGTAGATTCAAATCAACACAATTTATAATAAAATAAGATAAAAATATATATAGCTGTTATTAAAGTATATTCCACTACCTACCCTAATTTTCCACCCATAAAACCCCTGTAAGTACCATTTTCCTAGGACAAAATGTTAGAATTAGGAATATAAGAGGCTCGCTACATGAATTACTGTTGCCTTTGGGTGTGCTCAGCTTCATCACGTCATTTTCTATAGCGATACTCGACGGATTGTCAGATTGTCGGGCCTGCTGTCTGATTTCCCCCATGGGTTTGGCCTTTTGTGATTTATTAGTGCGAAATGCGAGGTGACATTTATCTTTACTTCTTCTTTGACAGCAATCCGTGCAGTACCAGACCCGAAGTACATAAAGTCAGGTAAATAAAGTTTCCTCCTGTGTGATCTATGATGCCTGCGAATTTACCTTTCCCGATGCTACTAGCAGAATGCTTTGTCGTCAGCTCTTCCGATGTCGTCCAGTCTGTATTAGAGCAGCTTTATGCTTAGAGCTCCGTTGGTAACAAGGGGCGAATGGCACCAGCGCATAACAAGAAATTTAGGTAGGTGCGACTGAACGAGCGTGTTTTGTAGCACAACCAACGGACATGTTATGTACGTAAATTTTTCTCGGCGTCAATGCATGATTGTATTCGGCTGACCTACGTGGGGGTCGAGCATGAACTCAGGTATTCATAAGGTCATAGTGATTGGGACCGAAGCTTAAAGTACTGCGTAAGATAAATAGGTCCATTGTCTTATAGATTAACAGCAGGCTTATTGTGTACATATTGCACCCATTCTGTGCAGAGTCTATACATTCATCCTTGAATAAGGTCAGCAATCGTTATAAATACTCCGGTGACTTCAATCTGTACTGTGAAAAACAATTGCATTCTTAAAAAATATAATCAATTGATGCTGTTCTTATTAAAGCGTTCTTGGTTTAAATTGAAGCTGACCTGTGTTACAGCCAGAAAGTGTACAGGTATATATGGCCTTTGGGCGAAAATGCTGACTCTAGGTGTTGATATGGAACGTAAGGCGACCCCTGGGGCGGATGTTTTAATCAGTAGCTCATCCGCTTTTGCTATGTAAATCGAAATGTCTAGAATTAAGGTTGTCCGTCCTCCCAAGCGACTCGCCTTACGTTCCATATGTATATAAATTTCAGAAAATGGACCCTCCAAATTTTCCTTGTGCTGACGTAATCTGTCTTGGAAAAGGCAAAGCGTGTATTAACGAAATAGGTGTTAGAGCCACACACTATCTATTTCGAGCGTGCAAATGTTTTTGGGTGCGTAAGTGCCACCAAATCACGCAAATAAACTGTCAAACTCGTTATCCTCTGAATCTAGGCATCAGCTTAGAGCATTCGCATGAAAAATAACTTCACGCACCACATGACTTGCAGATTTTAGAAACTTTTGTCAACGTAAACTTCTGTACTCATAAGTCGATTAAACGAACCAAGGTAATTACTTTGCTGAATCCCATATGACGCAGGCAATCTGACGAAAAACTTAGTCCAGACGTGAAAACCTTCAGACTCTCGATCAGGTTTTTCAAGCCGTGACATTTGCATCACGGTTTTGAATCTCACCAAAACCATCGATCGTTTTATTAATCCAAGTATATTTTTAGAAAAGATGCGCAAAAAGTATTATTTATCTTTTACTCATTTGGTAAGCAATTAACTCAAAAGAGGTTCTGTTCGGCTTTTAGTCGTGTTCAGTTACAAGAGTATTGAAGATCATAAATGGTCTCTTATAAATAATTTTTTCTCTTTATTTATTATTGCTTCTTATATAGTACACAAGGTAGCTGACATCTCCTTCAAATGTGTATGAACTCTACATAACGTCATGTCATAGCGAAGGAAATGTGTGATTTTCGTTAGGCGAATTATACGCAGCATGTACTGCGGGAACTTTGAATGCAAGTTAATGGACGGTCTGAGTCGAGATGACTTGGAGGTTGAAAAACATTTTGACACTGAACAATTTTTTTCTGGCAGCAACACACGGCTGCAACACGCGGCTGCCCAAAGAGTAAAGGAAAAATTAGTGCGGCACGTGTTTTCGATCAAATATCTGAATTACTCACGGTAATAACAACCAATATGCAACCACCTTAATGTATAAGTAGACACTTGCGGAGTATGGTTTTCGCAGGCGACACAAAACACGCTTTTCCCAAAGGAGGAATCCTTACGTACCTAATATAGCTTGGGAGTATACCGTAGAGTAATTTATATTACAGCCTTTCTTGAGTAAATACTACGAATCGAGCACACATTTAAGTATTTGGGTTAACATTTGATAAGATATTACAGGGTAATGATATTACAGTTTAATGAGCCGAGCACCATAAACCAGAATAAGTCCTTGAACAGCCATTGCTAGTTTAGAATGTGTGGTCACTTTGCTTTCTCTAAACATTTGAGCTAAGCTGGACTAGTTATTGATCGGTAACTCAGGTGCTCAATTGCACTAGGACTGTGTAAACATACATTCCAAAAACAGTCAGTTCGTCTTCAACTTCCACTGGGTAGCCACAACACACATGGACGTTTCATAGGAGACGAAGTGGTATTGCTGTTCTTCTGTCTATCCTTTTATCTGCAAATTCTTTCCAAATGTTTAAAATAAACTTACAAATACGGAGAATATTCCTTTTCAGGGACGTCTAGGGCACACAATTTTT